TTTTTTTTTTTTTTTTTAAGAGTCGCATAAAGTCTTTTTCGCGGGCACAGATCTTCCCTTGAATGCAGTATCTCTGTGGTGAGGAGTTCCTTCTTACCCTCCTCGCCATACTTTATATAGTGACAAAAGCCATGATATTGCTCTATTTTTCCCCTTTAGGTATCAATCTGGTTGCATGCAGTGTATTAATTACTTTTGAACAAAATTAGGAGAATAATGATTTATCTCTGTAAGACAGCACTGGCTTTTCTACAGTGAACTCTGTATTTGAGTAGGCTGTGAAATAAACCCTCAATATATTGCATAAATATTTCAGAGGCCTTCACTGATCTTAGGAACTGCTCTACCTGACATGCTAATAAAGACAAATTTTACTTTCAGTACCTTACAGAACGACAGGAGGCATGCTTGTGATCCTTTGGAAAACCGGCATGCAACAAATGCAAATAATTCACCAGGACTAAAATATTCACTAAGTAATACTGTAGAGCATAGTTATATTTCTTGATAAAAGTTGTTTTAAAATTGCAAATTAATGTTATAAATTACTTCTAGTTGATAAAAATACATATATTTACGTGCCTGATGATGGAAATCTTTGGATCCTAAAATCTACTTTGTATTGAAGCTGGCATCTCAATTCTAGCTTCAGTTCCAGCTGTAGGGCCTAAGCCTTTGAAGCACTCACAGCTGGGGTTGAAGCTCCTCTCTGTAGACAAAGAAACCTGCGGTCTTAAAACACAGGCTTTAAAGTTGCTACTAGCTTAGTTGGAACTTGACTTAAAGACTTGCTTCTCATTGTAGAGAACTATCTCTGTGTCTACTTCAAAGGCAGGTGATACCAGACTCAGGAATATTTGAAAACCTATTCTCATAAATTTATTCTCAAAGGTAAGTCAACAGCTTTAAAACACAGGCTTAAAATCTGTTTATAGACAGGTGACAGTTAGATGTAAAGACCTGAGCTTAAATTTGAGCCTCTTTCTCATGCAAAATGTCATTTAATCAGTTTAAACCTTTCTAAGTGTATGTATCATCCTCTTATTTGAATACCTCTGGCTGCTGCTGGGCAGGAGTTTTTTCAGTGCAAGCAGCAAGTAGCTCTCTGGGTGCAGGCTCTTTGGCTTAAAACAGCAGGGCTTTTTCTGTCCAGCTGCCTCTACCTGTGAGCACTTCAAAAAAGAAACCACAGCAGGGCCCGGAGCTGAAACTGAAAGGGGTTTCATCTGACAAGGGCGATTTTAGGACTAAAGCCTTGGGGGCAACTGCTTTGCTTAAAAAAATACAGTTTTAAAGTGATATATGCAATTGCTGTTATAAGAACTTGAAGAGCATAATGCTAGTGAATGTTCTTTTGCCTGTTTCACTCTGGTCAGCTTTATGAGAAAATGAAATAGGAAATGGAAAGGGGATGACTCTACTGTTCCAGAAATGCATCTTAACTCCATTTCTTTACTGCACCCATAAACGGACAATATGTGGACATAGATGCTGCAAAGATTGACTGCTCTCTTTGGTGTTCTTTTATGCTGTGTGAAACCAGATATTGCTTCCTTTTCAGTATTAGTTTAAAAATATCAATAAAATTGGGTTATGCTTTTGCTCTTTGAAGTAGAGGACTGACAGGGGCAAGGCTTTTAGAGATTTAGGAATGTCTTTCCTTGAGGATGAAAAAGTGAACTTTATTAATAGAGTTTTAGTTTAACAGGTTTAAAGGTATTTAGGCATCTATTTCTATTGAGTTCTACACTAGAATAAATGTCTTTGTTTTGTAATAAAAAAAAATACGCATATCACTTTTTTTTCTATAATAGTAGTAGTAGTAGTAGTAGTAGTTTTTATTGACTATAACTCTGATGTTATAAGTGTGAAGTGACCTTACATATGTGAGCTTTCTCCAAAAAAAAATACTGGTCACATTCACAGGAACGTGATTTATTGCCAGGAGGTTCAGGGATAGAAGTAATATGATCAGTGATTGCTGAATTTCTGCATTTATAAAATCCTAGCATCTGTGTATGTTATAGTCCACATTCATACATTATCATATTTTTTTTTAATCTCCTTCAAAATTAAAGACTTACGTAGTATGGGAGCTGCCACTCAAACTCAAAAATGTAGCTAAGCTACAATAGAGAGCTGACTATCTATATACTTGAATATTTATATATAAGCCTTCAAAAACTATGTATATGCAAATATATCTGATAGTTCTGACAATAACTCAGCAGTTGTTCTTAATTCTGAGGTCAGATTTACCTTGTCTTGTTCCTAAGTCCAGTGTCCTGAGAAAGTCTAACTTTCTATAACCTGTGTTTTCTGATAGCTTAGAAAAAAAATGTTTATGCAATCTTTTAGTTAGGTAGGCATTGAGAGTGCAAATTTCTCCCTTCCTTTAGCTGAACAAAATACAAGTATAGAGCAGAACAAGATGAAACTGCAAGTGTGGCATAGGAATCACTTTTCAGACAAAAGGAACTGATACTGGCCATTATACAGCAATTTCTCATGGACCGTAAAAAGTTGTCAGAAATTCAGAAGTATCTGCCAGAACACATATTTTTGCTAGATTATTATCTTAACACTTTTACACATCCACAAGTCCATCCTCCCCCACCTGCATAAACCTTAAATGTGTATTTCTAATTTTGTTACAGCAGTGGCTTTTGCCCAGGTGGATCTAATGAAGCTAATTATTAATGGAGAGCTACAAACCTTGCTTGCTCATCTGGATGAACACTCAGGTGGTTAGTTTTATTGAGCAGTGAGCTGCTGCAATTACATTACTATTGGTATTACGCTTTAAGCTTAGTTTAAGCTATTTTTTACACAATCTGGTAGCTGTAGGATCTATTTCTACAATAACTTTTTCTTGGTGTCTGGAGTGCCTAAAACCAACAATCACAAATTCCAAACCCAAGTTTGCAATTTAATATTTTCTTATAAAAATCAACCATTTAAAACAGTAAGTATATGATAGCATAAAAGCTACTGATGGTGAAGTTCAGAGGGCTTTTGAGCTGCCGCTCGTACTCAGACCAGTTTAATGAAGAACAGACTGAGCTCCTTTATTGCAAAGATGTTTTTCAGAGATTCTCACAATTTCTACTGTGGAGGTGAGCGGAGACTCTAGTTCTCCCTGTTCTTTGTGCAAATGGCATGAGGTGATCCAGACTGGTGCAACTGAGCTTAGATAAAGGATTGTCAGAGCCCAAACCGAACATTTTTTGCTGAAAATGAAGCCTTTCGAGATAGGGCTTCAGTCATAGCCTCTGTAACATACTTCCACCAGAGGGTTTTGCAAGCTTGTAACTAAGACATTACATGACTCTGTTCCCTGTGAATTTCAGTTCTGCTCTGAAGCCAACAGACATAACAACAGGAACAAAAACAAGTGGTTTCTCCTTGGAAAAAAAAAAGAACTGATTAGGGGATGTTCCCTATGGGTTCAAAATTAGAACTTTGAGCAAAATTACTGATGTACCACTACCACTGCCCCCTGAACAACCCCGCAAAGGTCACAGGATGGATTCCTTCATCCAAACACACACATACAGACCTCACTGGCAATACCAAGTATGCTAAAGCATGCATAGATATGCAACAATTTGTGCTACCTATGTAAGGTTCGTCCATTCATCCATTACAACACATGAAAGTTTTTCCAGCTGTTAAATAATCATTTTCAGGTTAGTAGTCAGAGAAGCTCTTAAAGCAACAAAAGTCCTTTGTGGTGGCTCCTGTAGGTGGGAGCACGGGAGGAAACACGAAAAAACTCTTGCAAGGAGAGGAGTGCAGTGAAGTAGAGCAAGAGAAAAATAAATGAGGAGGGAGCTTAAGCTATGAGAAGACTCAGATTCATACTTAATCATGCTGATCGCCCTGATTATTTTCTGGGAGTTCTTTATTACAAGACTTACTCTCAAGAGTCTAAGACATACATTAAAATAAAAAAAATAGGCTTCTGCCACTGTATTGCTCTGTTCCTTATGACTGAATTGGTCTCCAACAGATAATCTCAACAAATTTCAATACTGAATACTTCCTTTATATATGTGCTGTTGAATACTGATATAGCACATAGCACTTCCAGGCAGTCAATATGCTGTTAGTTGAGCAGTAGAGCAGAGAAGAGAGTGATAAAAGCAGTGATCTAAAAAAAAATATCCTGAAATACTGTGCTGGAAAGACCAAGGAGGTTTATACACTGAAGGCCTTAGGTAAGAGTAGTGGAATTAAGGGCACCCTTTAGAAATCTTCCTAGATGTGTTATTTTAGAACAAGTAGGTGAAGCAGGAGCCGACAGTTTCAGACAGGACAAAGGCAGTAACAGATTATAGAAGACATGGAAAGACTACGAGAGTATCACATAAACTTTAGCACAAGTGAAACATGTTCTAAACAATCATCATATACATATGTACATCATAAACATCAATCATCATATACAATAACAGCTTACAGAATTCCGGAGGTTGGCAAATACCCAAGTATACAGTACTTACTCTCTGCTCATGATTTCTGAAATCAAGGAAGTGCAAAATCTTCAAGTAAGTCTGTGAAAAGAAAGTAAATATATTAATTATTTAGGGTCTTAAAAATCTAGATGCATCTATTTGTAGATTGAGGACTCAATTTATTTATGTTTATTTATTTATTTATTTATGTTTATAAGCAAGGGTTCCTTTTCAAATCAGAAGAATTACCTGGAGCAGACATATTGCTAGCTTGGTAATATTGCTTTTTGCTAAACCAGGAAAAACCTTAATTTCAGATACCATCTATTTTTAAGGCAGGAAAATTTGACACTTTTGACACTAATAGTCTGTACCAAGACATAATGATTATTATGCCCAGCACTAGAAAGTGTGTAGCTCCGTCATTTTCAAAAATAGCCTTAATGAAATCTCCATTTGTATATAATAAGTTTTCATTTATGTACGTGCTGTTCTGCCGTCACCAGCTGTGACCTCAGTGATGGGATTTGCATGTATAGATCTGTATTTATGTGAGAATTTGCGAACTGAGATGAAAGCCTTATAAACTGAGCATGCAGTATGAAGACAATCTATCAAAATTATATCTAGAGCTAATGAGTCTGTGAAATAACTTGTCAAAAAATGGACATTTAAAATATATAGACATACATACGTGTATGTTTTTAAAAAACAGGGCTTTTAGATTTTCTTGGAGAATTCACAAATTCTAAAAGCTGCTTCAGAGTTGTCAGTCACTGTGTTGTTTTATCTCTTATGCTATTTTCCATTTTCAACAACTGACCTGTTTTTTTTTTTCTTACCAGAAGCCTTAATATCCACTAATTTGAACATAAAAAAGTAGAATTCCAACTTTTATATGAACTTTATCACTGTTCATTGCCATTACTTTCTCAGGTAGTTGATACCTACTGAAGTTAGGTGATGGTCTTTACTGGAGACATGAGTGCTCTTTGAAACAAAATTCTAGGAAAAAATAAAGTTAGTCAAATTACCAGACATCTCTGATATTGATTAAAATATATAAAAACAGGCTTTTGTAATAATTTAGAGTAGAAAACTTGACTCAAATTCAAAATTTGTACATCTGCATCACAAATGCCTGTCCTAAGAACAGGAACATCTTAGTATTAAAAAAAATCAGCAAAACTAACTCTCCTTTAAGCTAGACTTGAATTGGGTGCTTTTGTTCAACTTAAAAACGAACAAAGGAAAAGAAAATATCAAGCTGCCAGCAGCAAAAAGCATAATTAGTTATAACTAGAAAATGAGGAAGAATTATGCTATTGCAGGCTTTTATGTGCTGTCAGAAAAAATAGCTATAGTCAACATCTGAAAAATGGCTAAAAAGCCAGCTAAGCTTGCCACATTTGCCAAGAACAATGAGAATTGGTCAAAAGCTTTCAAATATTGCTGCTTGGATTAAATTTCATGTTAAAAGGCAGAGTGAGAAAATATGTGAGGACATCTCCCTTGGCTTTTATTTTAGCTCTTCATTGCACAAAATACAGCAGATTTTTCATGACTTTTACCTTCAGATGAAGGGAACATAACCACAAAAGATTCCAGGCCTCTTCATGAAATTTCGTGTGTTATTTATTGAAATAGGGTAGAATGGAGCAAACTGTGTAAACCTGCAGCATCCTTAGGATGATCCGGTATTTTAAAATGCTAAATAGAGATGTTCCATTTTAGGAATGAGTAGAATCATTGTCCATTTATATGCCAATTAGTGCTAGAATTTTCATGCCATTCTTACTTGAAAAAGAAAACTAAAGGTTCTGCAGGATTTTTAAAGCTGGTCCTTCTCCCCATCCACAAATTAAACCTGCAAATGACTTTGGTGCAGAACACTTGCACCAAAGTTTGAAGAAGGCCTGAAGAATTTGGCTTTCAGTTCTGCAAATAATTACTGTTGCTGTTTACGTCGATTCCTATAAACAGCAAAATGTCTACCAAAAGATGGATTTTCAATCAGATATCACTGTGCTACACCAGTTAGACCTCATAATGGTTATCCTTGCTCATTTGGCCATATTTATCCTCACAATAAAGTTTAATGGAAATGGAAGAAATTTGAATATAAAACCATACACCTGATTCAAACAATCAGCTCTAGGGCTATAGTGAAGGAACAGAAAATGTTAAGTAGCTGTTTATTCACTGTCCTGCTGCTCTGTCTCCTTTTGAAAGCTCTGTAATACTAAACCAATGTGAATACTGAGCACAATAAGGAACAATGTTAGAAACTGAAACAGTAATTTTATCAGAAAGTGTAAAGCACTGTCAAATAGTATTGCCAAGATTATTTTCACATTGCTTCTTCACAGCAACAGAAAACAGTCACGTATAGGAGGGAGAAGTACTTATCTGTCTGATTTAAATGAAGACAATCTGTTTTTACTAATTTGTTTCAGTCAATAATTCTGGCGATAATTTTTTCAGTTTATTTTAGGACATTAGCTTGACTCTTTGTCTTGCCAGAAACATAACCAGAATTTTCATGTTAACAAAATCTCAATATATCAAATAGGAGATATCAAAATTCTCTGTAAATATATTTACTTAGGAGACTATTTGAATTGGTTTATTAAGTTTAATTACATAATAAAATTCTGTTTATTCTGTTTACCTCTACATAAAAATATAAATTAGCAATGTAAAAAACACATATACAAAAATGAATCAAGAAAGGTCTATTTGCTTGGCAGTGGCTATATTGATTTGGTTAATGGAGAAGGGAATAAAAATAGTCTGAAAAGCTGTATGCCATGAGGTCATCAGGTGTGGTTGGCTTTTTCTTTAGCATATATCCCATGCAATCCTAAATATTTTAAGTCATACAAGGAATCTGTTAGAGCAAAAAAGACTGTGAAACACAAGCCAATCCCTTGGTTAAAAGCCTTTTGAAAGCAGAAGAAGATAGGAAGAAACAAGGGCAACTCACAGCTCCTTTCCTTTAAGGTGTGTGGGTTCTGAGCTACCACAACGCTGAGATGGTTTCCCCTGCGCAGCAATTTCTGAGCATTATTCTCAATGCCTCACTTGGCTGACTGGAGGTCCGCGATGCACATAAATAGAAACACTGCAAGTGAAGAAGTTTCTGCTGCTTTTTGATGAGTTTCCTGCGGATGGCTACCACATGCTCAGGCACCAATCAGCACTTTGAAAGTTGACCGGTGAGTACCCATTATTTCTATTCTGCCTCAAAAAATCTGCCTCAGGGAGATAAGACAGAGCACATATTCTCCTCCTCTTGTCTACCTTAAGTTGCATACAACATTTCTATCAGTGTGTTAGTAGCTGTTTTGAATCTTTGCTTGAGGAAAACACATTTTTTTTTTGATAAGCTGCTGCTTAATTTTAACAGGGAAGAATAATTATTCCTCCTGATTTTAAATTTTCTCATCTTCTCAAGCTATTTGAGGATCTCTTAAATTATTTTAAGATATCTTTAACTATTTATGCTATCTATTTCTCTAAAGAAATAAATATTCAAATAGCAATGTGATTAACCTTACTCTGCAGTTTTGGAGAATTTCAGTAGATTTTTCTACCTATGTATAAGCTTGCTGGGTGGCCCATGAAGAATATTTTTCCTTACTGTTTAAAACATTTTAAGACTTTTATGTATTTAAAAGAATGTATGTTATTTCTAAAAGACATATGTCGGTATATATATTGGTAAATTTATTTTTTCCATTAAAAACAAAATTTTGTAAAAATAAACAGTGAAGGAAAGCTGCACATTAGGTAAAAGTCTGCCCATGCCCTGAGGACTGCTGTGCAGTATCAGAGTAAAAGGGCATTTGAGGCAGAAGAAGGTGGCAGAAATGAACACCTTCTTCTGGAGCACAAGAAGTTCCGTCTCCAGGTGAGGAGGAAGTTCTTTACTGTTAGGGTGACAGAGCAGTGGAACAGGCTGCCCAGGGAGGTTGTGGAGTCTCCTTCTCTGGAGGTCTTCAAAACCCACCTGGATGCCACCCTGTGCCACATGCTGTAGGTATGCCTGCTTGAGCAGGAAGGTTGGACTAGATGATCTCTAGAGGTCCCTTCCAACCTTAAATATTCTGTGATTCTGTGATTCTGTGAATGAACATTCACGGGACATTCACACTGCAGTCCCACGGAAACAGTGTGACGGAATTTCCAAAACAACTTCTGATGTTGTAGGCTGCTACAGCAGCTCTGTTGCAGTTTTGTTGCATTCAAAAGATGGGTATTTTAGTTGAAAATCTTCAGGTAAGGAATGAGTTAAATATGGGATAGCTTATTCCAGTTCTCAGTTCTGCATGCAATCCACAAAGTAATAGGTATTTTGCCTGTATTTGGAGAGCAAGTTAGGTTTTGATTTGAGATTTTTAATGTAAAAAATGGAAGCAGTAGCATTTCCAGTACTGTGTGTCTAAATAAAATATTTTTAATTAGAATGTAGCACATACTGTTATGGCAGATAGAAAATTTATAATCAAACCTCCAAAATTAGAGCCCTGATTTAACATAAACTGGATGAGCCATTATCTGTATCTATTATAGATAGGAGCCACTATCTATTATCTATCTATAGGAGCCATTATCTTTGTCATTTCAGAAAAGAAGTACAAGAAGTACTGTAAAGTAAACTAAAAATTCAGTTTTTATCATTCTTTTCTTAGCCTGCTCTGTACAGTTCTAGTTATCTACACAGGGAGATTGATGAGAGGGATTCTTAGGAAGAGATTTAACAGTGAACACAGTGTCACTAGTTTCTCTGTCCCATTTAATTCTGTTCATTGCAGGATACATTTTCCTGCACATATTGCAGGAGTACCTTCCCAGCTATTTCATCCTCTCTTCTCCTTGCTTTCTGTAGAGACCAGTGTTTCTCCTAGCTGAGGCAATGCTAACATGACTTTGTTTCGTTGTTTTACAGAACAGCAAACTCTGGAGCTGGCAGCAGTTTCTGGTGGGATTCTCTCTTTTCTGCTCTGCTTATGATCGGGGGGCTTTTGCCCAGAATGATTTGTTTTTTTCACTGATAAAAATAAATTTAGTTGACCCAAACCTACTTGCAACTTTAGTTTCTGATGGGATCTAGGAGTAATTCAGGAGAAGAAAAAGTGAGGAAATAACAGAGATTTTGAAACAGTTTAGGTATTTCTGTAGTCACCACTCAGACATTTCAGACATTTAGAAAATTTATACAGCTACAATTTACAAAAGTCCTGTTTGATTTCAATGGTGCAAGCTTTTTCTAATGTATTTGCAGACTGTACAAAAGTCTTTGGGACAAACGTTTCTATTGTATCCTGAAGAGCAAGGTACACTGAACAGTTGTTGCACTGTGAGGATTGATATTAACCTCAAAATTTCTTTGTGCAACCATCATCCCTGAGCAACAGACGTAGAAACACTAATCTCCTATTTCCATCAGATGATGAAAGATTTCAGTTCCTCAGAAAACTACTTAGCACCTTGAAGTGGTTAGCTGTAAAAAAAAATCCCTCAAAGTTTGTTTTCTTTAGAAAAGGTTCCTTTAGCATTATAAATGAGAGCAGTATTACTTTGTCTTTAGCAAACTGTACATTACTGCCTTACCATCCAAACTGTTCACTGACAGAAAATGACTCATTTACAGGGAGGGACTCGATGCCACTTCAGGTGTCTACAGGAGCAGGGCAGATGCCACCAGTGTGGTTCACCTTGGGCCAGCCTCTGGCTGCAAGGCTGCCTTGGGAGGCAGGCTGCACATTGCATTTGGGACAAGCTTAACGTACACAGACATACACAGATACAGGACATCCTACACCTGAAACTCCTGGGTGCTGGAGGGTGCTCTTCTTTCCCCTGTAAAGTTCCTCTTGGAAGCCTACCTTACAGAAGAGCTGAATCCCTATAGAGATGACCTTTAATGAACAATATAGATACAGGACGTTATTCTCTGCAAGGGAGAGGGAAGAATAGATTGCTCATTGCAATTTCTGTTTTGGGAGATGCCTGTTAAGTTTGAATCCTGAGGAGGTTCTAATTATGGCCTTCAGTTTTTGGATAAAGAACTAAAACTCCTGCATTCAAGTGTCAATTTTGCTTCCTCTTTCATTTCTACACCTTTGCTTTTCCTTTTCAGACAATTCTTTTGTTTGTCAAACCAGCATTGCTAAGTTCCTCACATTTCAAAATATAACAGGTAGCCATCAACACAGAATGAAATGCCAAAATCACCAAACTCGCTTTCTAACAACATAATTATTTTGAAGTGTAACTGTTGAAGAAAAATACATATTATGCTAATATTAATAAGGCTAGGATATCTCTAGTGTATATAGGTTGGGAAATTCTGTATAGCGTGTGCCTCTGGATTTTTTTTTTGACTTGAGACCATTTCTATTTTAAAAGAGATTTCATTACTTACCCATAAGCAAATTCACAAAGTTTGCAGTAATGTATCAACTGTATCAGTATAAATGAGGTCAGACCACAGGTTTTCACTCTAGAAATATTCTTCCTTGGATGCTAATTTAAAAGATTATAATTCCAAGGAGTCTTTGATGCTTAATTACTGGTGAGAATACAGTGCATTATACTGTAGTTTTATACAGTGGTTAGGGAAATCCTGTCAATAAAGCCTGAAAAATAATGGGTTTAGCTTTGGTGGATTGAATGTAGAATGAAAATAGACGTGGAAAAACTTGCATCAGTTCAGGTTTTAAAAAAACCAAAATGACTTTGCTGGTAAAGTGAAAAAGCTGATGTACAACTGCGTGGTCTGTTTTATGTTTCAGTTAATATCTCCATTTAACCCATGTCATTTGTGCAGCCCAGCTCAAATGAATTAAGAAACTGTGTGGTCAATGGGGACTGACTTCTTAGTTCTTTCCTTTGTCAGTAAAGTGAGCCTGGAGAGAATGTTAATGTCTGGAAGGTGGGGCAGTATGGAGCTCTTTGTACTTATGTCCCTAAATGTTGAAAAAGTTCACTTTGTTAAATTGTCAAAATATATTTTGCCATTTGGGGATCAGGACCACGCACCACAATTTCATCAAATATATGGAAAATATATGGAAAAAAATGTTCTCTTCATTATTATTACATAGTTTGTTCCAGTTTGGCCAGAAACATACTGTTTGCATATAACAAAAATGTCTGTCTGGGAAATACAAAAACTTACTGAAAAAAGGTATAGGTTTTGACTGGTAACTTAACAAGATTTCATCACTATTAAGCTGCTTATTCATCTATGAGATTCTTTTTTCCTTTTTTTTTCCTTTTTTAAAGAGAGACTGTAATCCTCACAGTGTGCTGCCAGAAAGCTTGACTTATCAGATGAAAGCTTCGTTTACACTGATTAAGGAATAAAAACATATCAGGCCTGACTGAACAATGAAAATAGTCTCCACTGATATTTTATTCTAATTCAGCAAGCTCTAGAAAGTATGTTATTAAAATAACCATGTTTATATTCAGGAGTCAAGAATAATGGAATACACTTGTTAACATAGCTACTAATGATTTGTTCTTAGTCCTTTTCAACTTACATGGTCATTTGAAGTCAATGTGCAGTATTAAATAACACAGCTGTCAAATTCCGGCCTGGGTTCAGCAACCCTTGGGTTAGTGAAATCAATTCCTTTAAGGAAACTTTGGATTAATCTGTATAAATTTTAACCAAGGTCTCTCTAACTCACATTTCTTAGTCTGGAATTACCATCTTTTCCCAGACAAATTACTGAAGCCAACTGTAGTTGACTTAATTGTAGTATTTAGGCAATGGAATAACTTGTTTGAGTTGGGGAAAAGAAGTCCATTGATGAGCTACCAGTGAATTCAGAGTTATCTCTGCACGTACGGTAAGTCGGTAGTAACCTGAGGATGCATTCTGTCCCCTTGCTCCTTGGTGCGAATATGTGACTGCGAAAAGGATCAGTGAAGCATTACTGATTGCTTTGCCTTTAAAACACTTAAGAAAACTACTTTTTTCTGTGTCTTCCAATTCAGCTGATTGGACAAGAATCTCATATTCAGAGTCTCATGTCTAATTGGGGCATGAAGGAGCAATTGAGCAATTAGGGCAATGGCTTTTTCTGTTATCTGTTGCTCATCTACATTTTAGTGTCACTATCAGTTTCCCGCTGCTAAAGTAAAATGTTTGTTGTATCCTGTCTTTGCAATTTTTCTTAAATGAAGCCAACCTAGTCTTCAAATCCTAAAGATGAGAAGGTTTTTTTTGTTTCTTTTTTTTCTTCTTTTTTTAATACTAGCTCTGAAATAAGAGGTTACTCTTTCCATGGAGGTTTACTAATAACTAAAAAAAAGAAAAGGAAAAGAAAGAAGAGTTTTTTTTCAGGTGTGTTTTAGCTTATCTGGCCCTTGTATATCTCAGTATCAAACACTGAAGATATAGCTGTAATGTTTGAAAGGCAGTGCCCAGGCTGCTGTTAAATGCAAAGCTCAGCAGAAGGCACAAGTTTGGAGCCAGATTCATACTGCTGGAAGCAAAATGCTTTCCATCAGGTGATCGTCCTTCCTTTGCATTGTGAAAGGCAATGACTGGCAAAGTGGTCTTCATTCAGTGTGAGAATTGTGTACCTCTCAATGGGCTTTTGTACCTATTCCAAATTTAACCATTCATTAGATTCAGGTAAAAAAAAATCCATTAATGTTGAGAATCCACCCCAACGTGACAAAAAACTAGTTTTTCAGAGTGGTTACCCTTCTATAACATGCTATCCAAAATACAGTGAATTATGACTTTAATTAATGAAAGTAGCAACTTCCATAAACTAAACTAAATATAACACTAACCTCTTCCTCCTTTTCTTTTACAGAAAAAAAAATACTAAATGTTTCATTTGAAACCTCTCCTCTTTAAGGACATATCAGAGAAAAGACTGATAAACTCCCCCTGGTGTTATAAAGGACTAACTTGTGATTCTACAACTCTTTTACAGATCCCCATGACAAAGGTGTTGGTAGAAGGTATTAGGGATCTCTTAATCTGAAATCCTTGGATTCCAGATTTCCAGATTCTCAGTGAAGTACCTAAGAGCCCTCAACTTGTACATGGGTAAATTATCTGTAGGCAAACACTATTTTCTGCAAACATTGGGTGCACTTTGCCCTGAGAGGTTTTCAGAATTTGGCACTCTCATAGCTCTGGGGATCCAGGTCTCCAAGATCCTCCCCGATGTGACTCCAGGGGCCACAGTCTTGGGCAGCACCACTTAAATGGTGTCAGAGCTTAAATGCTCTCTGACTGAAGAACACAGGTTGTAACCAGAGATCAACTCTTACCTTTATAGCAAGGAACCCGGGAACTCTGAGAAACCTGCATGAATCTCATCTCTGAGTTTCCGGACTCTGAAGAAGTGATTTAAGCTATGGGAGGACTTTAGAGCAATCTGAGTTGCAACTGGCAGAGTTCCCTTAAAAGCTGCTGGCTTTTATGTTTCAAGTTCACCCAAAAGCTACAGATTTGTGAGGCTGTTTTGTTTACATTAATTTTGAAATGCAGGTGATTTTTCACAGAAAAAAAAAAGACTATCTGTCACCTACAGGTCACTGCTGTGTCCATCTCAAGTCCTTTCTCTAAAGTCTGTATGCTGGAATATTAGATGTGTTCATGAAATGGTGAAAAGTATTTTCAAATCCTTAAAACACATTCAAAGCAGTATTTTCATGGGCCAAACTGTAATTTCACATATTATCCGTCTTAAAAAAATGACTGGGTCATTCAGTGTAAAATAGAAGAGACAACTTTTTTTTGTTTGGTTTCCAAGTTTTCAAGTGCTAACACAATGCAAACATCAAGATAATATGTGGATGAGTAGTAGCACATACAGAAATCTAGTGACAGTTTAAATAAGATGACTTTGTTACTAAAATCATTCTATTAGGTACATTTATCATATTTGCATTGCATTAGTTGTAATAATACAGTATGTACATAGCTACATATATATGCATATATATGTCTTAAGAGAATACAGATGATAAATGCAGATAAGAATGCAGATGATAAATGTTTGAAATGAGTAAGGCCAAAGGCCA